AGTAAAACAGCTGCACTGCTGTCATGCCGTTGAATCGGCACAGAGCCTTGGTAGGATTTCGGCCTCGGGCGTCCTGTCAGCTGCGGTCTGCAAAAAATTTGAAATTGAGAAATGCGGAGACTTTTTTTGAGAACATTTTTGCATTCTTGAGCGAATGCGGGAACACAAAATTAGTCACAAAGCACATGGAGCAGCTAATCACGCTTCTAGCGTTTTGTTATTGAAATGCCTCAGTATGTTTGCAGGACAACGCAGAAATTTACCGATCTGGCCTCTGGCATGTGCTGGAACTGAGCGACGGTGCTGCTGCATGCTCGGAGGACGAGGCATTCGGTCGCGGCCTTACGACGTCTAAGGCATCAACACTACTGTTATCGTCGCTTATGACGGGCTGCGAACATATGTCCGTGAAGTGGATGTCGCAATAAGCATTCGATAACACGCTCTCGGCATCAAAACTATTTGTCGCAGAATAGTTGGATCGGCGGCCGAACTGGGAGCGAAACGAGGACGACTCACGTGAACCTTCAATGCAGCGATTTTGAGGAAACTCCAACATTTCACGCACACAACAGCACTGGTATCCACTTTTAGGTCATTACCAAAGAAGTCTGGTGTTGACGATCCGGTGCTAAAACCGTCAACAAGAAACAATGAAATCACTTGAAAACATTTTGTGAATAAGAAACAGGGCAACCGTTGAAAATTCTTCAGTGAATGCTTATGCAACATCGAAAAATGTTAACGAAGGAATCAGACATGGATAAGAAGCAATTACCATTGGATGATTGCAGTTCTTCCTCAACCGAAGCAAGCATCCTCTGAGGTAAGAAATCGGTTTGCGTGGCTACGTGACTAACGCGAGGCGTCGAATCACATACCTGATCCACATATCGCTCCAGTTTTGAGTTCGTTACAAATTTATTGAACAGTACTGACCTGAAATTAAACTTTTCAGCTTGGCCCATCAAAAAACGAAAAAGCAAAGAAGAGAAGACGCTGAATGGTTTTTGTAAAGTTACGAGATGTCTTTTTCAGTTACAACATTATTGCGAAAGTAACACTTTTCAATTTCACTGTACTAACAGCTCGCCGAAACACCATCTCAGTCGAAGAGTATTCACAGCATGCGTTTGCAAATCAGCTAACAGATACTGCTTCACAGCAAATTATATTTATGCGATACATATTTGACTCACTGAAAGTCATCGTTTGGAGTGTAAAATTTGGCTTTTTCCAATGCTTGCACAGCACGAATGGCCGGAATATGCTGGCGAAGCCGATCTGCCAGATCATACCGATAAATCGGCTTTAACGATTGTAAATCTTCACGGCTAATTCTTGTCCCTGATCCTGAAAGCACAATGTTATTCAGAAAACTCTTCGCAACTTATCATCAGCTGGAGCTTCACCAATCATCATTGTCTAGACACCTGGCTAGTTCTCGTATGTCGCTGGACGTGGGCGACCGAGTCATATCTCCACGGTGTTCTTCGCCTAGCTGGCCAGGTAGCAAACACCCAGAGATGTGGCTAATTGACTTGATTTCCCTCTTCTTCATGACAGTGAAAACAGTGGAGAATAATATCGAGGTCAAGAAGGAAACGCACTCATTTTTATGCGTTTTCGTATTATTCAAAGAAACCAAGACGCATTTCGGAAAATTATGCCCGTGTCTAAGCGTACATGCTCATTCTCGATGTCTGTCTAACCTATATTTTATCCTGGACATTACGAAAACAAGAAGCTAGAATTACGAGATCGAGGCCAAAACTTGAAATCAAACGCCCTTTCTTTGTTTTCACTGTTTTTTTCTTTATTCTAAAACTTTAGAACTGGAAAAAATACAAGTCTAAAAGCACGAGAACGAAGCTCCCAATTGTATACGATACAAAAGAAGCCTAAATTCTGTAAAATTTCGCAGAGAGGTATGAATGCAGACTGCGCGTCTTAAGATTCCCTATGTTAAATCATAAAAAGCATTCCAAGAAATTAAGTCAAGGTAATCAAATATATCACTCACTCCTCACTCATCTGGAAAAGTGAAGTTCTGCATGAAAAATGTGGGCATAAAGCGAAAATAAAAGAGCTTACGCTGTTGATCGGAGTAAGCGGATGTTTCGGTATCCGAATCAACATCCGAATCGGTGGCCTCCACAAGCTGCGAGTTAATCATATTACTAGCGATACGTTCTGCAAGCCAATCCTTAAGTCGATGTGGAAAACTACGCATCGCTCGATGATGCTTCGTAAGCGGGACTGTCAGCAAGCCGCCTGCAACAGAAAACAAATGTTTTTTTGATCACACCGATTATAGGCTTTTATATAATCATTAAGCAAGGCTATGTGATCAAAATAGGGAGATAAATCCAGTCTCGAATCGTCTGATGCAGTACTATGGTTTTGCCCATAGTTTTTATTGGAACATTAATTAGAGGAAACATTAAATGCTTCAAATGTTATGGCAAATTATTTTCGGTGCAAATTTTGTGTAGTAAGTGCGTGGAAATCCAGAGAAACAGGAGAATGCAAATGGATAGCAGCAGCAGCAGCCGAGAAATCCAATTTGTTCAGCTTACGGAATGTATTAGCAGACATTTTCAA